CAAGCTATCTTTTATGAACATTTTATTTTAAACTTAAAGAGTTTATAATATATTACAAAATTTATAATAATGAACTTAACTAAAATAATAATTAAAATTATAATATTTACGATTAAAACTAATTATATACAATATAAAAGAAGAAACTATAATATAGAAAATCTAAAACTTAAAATTTTAATAGTCAAAAAGACCTACTGCCCGTGTTATGTTGCCTAGAACACTGGCTGCTTTTCCTCGCTGTATAGCTATACTTAGCCTTTGAGCGAGGAAAGAACTAGCCCTCTTATTACCAGCAGCGACGAACAATCGTGGATACAGTTCCTTTAGAAATTTCACTGCACGCGGACCCCACGGACCGATAGCCTCTACAGCAAATGGCACAAATATGTAGTCATTTCTCAAAGACTCATATTTGCGCCATTTACTAAATTCGCCTGCCTCTGATGCCGCCCCGGCTATACAAGAGGTACCCTTGAGATGAGAGGCCGCCAAAGTGTCGACGCAAGTAGCATCCCACACTAGGGCTTTACCTCTCTCCCAAGGGACCAAAGTCATACATAAAAGGGACCAAAGTCATAAAAGTCTTCGAAATCATAAATTATTTTTTTATTTTTCATAGCCATTTCTACTCTATGATGAAATTCATCGGCAGCCATAAATGTGTGACCAACTTGAAGATATTTGAATGTAACAGTTTCAAATGAAACTTCAGCTGAATTAATGAGGTATAACATATATGAAAATAGAGCCCAATTTTTATTCTGAGCAGCGCAATTATCTACCCAAAGCACTAAGTGCTTCATGTCACGATTTTGTAAAAAAATGCTCTAAAGCAACTTACTATGTCATCTTTCTTTCGACCAGATATAGCTTCATGCCAAAGAGCCGAAAATATTTGAAAATTTAAGGTTGTTTTCTTTTCTCCGATCGGTACGAAACTTTCATTGAAAACAATTAAGCGTGGACAGAACATCACTGCTTTAAATTGCTCCATGCGTGGCAACATTATAACTTTCTGTAAATCAACGGCGAAATATGCAGTATCAGAATCACCTTTCATATTATTTTGTACGTGAACATTACGCTGATACTCGGCTCGAGCCAATATTAACAGTGGTAGAGCCACGCGACAGCTTTGCTGTTGCACGTATTGGGCCGGCTCAAACCGGGGTGGTACAACGACCTCACAGAATACCGGCGCGAAGTGGAAGCTCTGCTTCCGCGTTACGTCTGGTGAGTGCAGGTGGCCGGAGGCCCAAATCCCCCGCCCCCCCCCCCTCATCAACATGGTAGCGGAATTAAATAATGATAGACTACCCCAGGAGGGTACCAGCACTCCTGAAGAATCCCTCGCTGAGCATCCACGACCATGTTTCTCCACTTCTGAGCGTGGGTGCTCAGGCTGCCCCGCGTATTCTGGGGGGGGGGGGAAATTCCGCTAAAGACTACAACTGCTCGGGGCAAACGGAGCAACAAGACCAAGGCGACCCCTGCCACGCTGTCCGTGAATTTCTGCAATATCAGGGGACATCACTCTAACCTAAAAGCCGTCCACTACCATCTCGAGACGGCGAGGCCGGCTCTCCTCTTCCTGACCAAGACGCAGGTGTCCTCTCCGGCTGCTGTTTCGTATCTCTCCTACCCGGGGTACAAACTGGAACACTCCTTTGTGCCTCGGGCTGGAGTTTGCGTTTACGTCAGAGAGGACATCTGTTCTCGACGCCTCGGCAGACTTGAAGTTTCGGACCTGTCCATCCTTTGGCTACGCGTAGACAGCGACGACCATCCGCGCGTCTACGGGTGCCTCTATAGGTCCCATACCGGTAATGCCGAAACAGACCGACTCTTCGACCACGTCCAAATGGCTACAGATTCGTTGCTACAGCAGATCCCCTCCGCAGAAATCGTGATCCTCGGCGACTTAAACGCCCATCACACTGAACAGCTTGGTTCACGTTTAACCGATCATGCGGGGAGATCTGTTCATGATTTTGCCTTGGCTTATGGTCTGACACAACTGGTTACTTCGCCTACGCGGATTCCAGATGTGGAGGATCATGCACCTTCCCTGTTGGACCTTCTGCTGACCTCTCACCCGGACGGATATCAGATTTCCGTCGAAGCCCCTTTAGACCCCTCGGACCATTGTCTTGTCCGGAGTGTGGTGCGACTCACGCTTAAATCGCAGTTGCATTCTGCAGGCTGCCGCCGTGTTTGGCACTATAGGTCAGCCGATTGGGATGGGATGCGGTCTTTCTTTGCATCCTACCCTTGGGGGCGGGTTTGCTTCTCGCCGGACGATCCCAACGTTGTCACTGATGTGGTACTTCAGGGTATGGAACTTTTTATTCCTTCCTCTGTGGTGCCCATTGGAGGCAAATCTCAGTCATGGTTTGGTCGCTCCTGTAAAATAGCATCACGCTATAAGCAGGACTGCTACCGAGCCTGGGCTAACGCATCAGCGTTCCGGGATGTAAACACCAGCTCTATGAAAAAGAAGTATAATTCCGCCTCCAAGTCGTTCAAAAGAGTCATTGCCAAGGCAAAGTCAGAGCACATAGCACCAGGCAGAATTGGCGAGAAACTAGTTCGGCTTCCTTCTGGAACCCGTGCATTCTGGTCTCTCGTCAAGGCTGTCCAGGGGGAATTTCTGTCAGCCATCTCTTCCATCTCTGCACAGGGAGGACGACTCAATGGCCCATACCGCAAAGGAGAAAGCCGATCTTCTAGGCTCTTTCTTTGCGTCCAACTCAACTCTCGATGACGGGGGGAGTACGCCGCCAACCATCCCGCGGTGTGAGTGCTCCATGCCGGAAGTGCAGTTCACAAAGCGCTCGGTTCGCAAAGCACTCCTCTCCCTGGACATCCACAAGTCGAGTGGGCCTGACGGGATCCCCCCAATTGTGCTGAGGACGTGTGCTCCAGAGTTGGCACCGGTTTTAACGCGTCTTTTCCGGTACTCCTACTCCCTAGGCGTAGTCCCAAAATCATGGAAGACGGCTTTCGTCCACCCGATCCCTAAAAAAGGCGACCACTCAGACCCGTCCAACTACCGGCCTATCGCCATCAACTCCTTGTTCTCCAAAACAATGGAGTCTACTGTAAACTGCCAGCTCATGAGGTACCTTGAGGATCACCAGCTGATAAGTGACCGCCAATACGGTTTTCACCGTGGTCGGTCAGCTGTTGATCTTCTGGTCTACCTAACTCATAGATGGGCGGAGGCAGTAGAGTCCAAGGGGGAGGCATTGGCCGTTAGTTTGGACATTGCGAAGGCCTTCGATCGGGTTTGGCACAAAGCGCTTTTTTCGAAGCTCCCTTCCTATGGGCTTCCCGAGAAATTGTGCGATTGGATCACCAGCTTTCTTGCAGATCGGAGCATCAAGGTCGTTGTAGACGGTGAAAGCTCCGATTGCAAGCCTATTAATGCTGGTGTTTCACAAGACTGCATGCTATCGCAAACGTTGTTTCTTCTGCATATCAATGATATGTGGCAAACCCGTAACATTCATTGCTATGCAGATGACAGCACTGGTGATGCTCTTTACACCGGCCGAGCCAACATTTCTCGGGAAAACGTCTCCGAATGCCGGGACAAACTTGTGTCTGAAGTGAGTCTTTGCTGAACAGTCTCGGATTGGGGGCTACTAAATCTATTCCAGTTTAACCCCCAGAAGACACAAGTTTGCGCGTTAACCGCTAAAAAGAACCCCTTTGTCGTATCTCCTCAGTTTCAAGGCACTCCCCTTGTTGCCTCAGCCAGTATCGGAATCCTCGGCGTTGACATATCGAGTGACGTGCAGTTTCGTGGTCACTTGGAAGGGAAGGCCAAATTGGCCTCTAAAAAGCTTGGCGTGCTCAGCAGAACGGGACAGTATTTCATGCCGGCACACCGCCTGCGACTTTACAAGGCGCAGGTTCGGCCGCACATGGAATACTGTTCCCATCTCTGGGCTGGGGCTCCCCAGTACCAGCTCCTTCCACTTGACCGCATCCAGCGCAGAGCGGCTCGAATCGTCGACGACCGAGTGCTTTCCGATCGGCTCGATTCACTGGCACTGCGAAGAGATGTTGCATCTCTTTGCATTTTATTTCGCACATACCATGGAGAGTGCTCTGAGGAATTGTTCGGATTAATCCTAGCCGCCAAATTTCGTGAACGCACTACGCGGCAAACGTCCCGATACCATCCACACCATCTGGATGCTTGGCGGTCCACCACAGTACGTTTCAAAAGGAGTTTTCTTCCGCGTACAACCTCTCTGTGGAATAGTTTACCACCGGCGATTTTTCCGGACCGATACGACCTGGGGACCTTCAAGAAAAGAGCTTACTCCTTTCTAAAGGACCGGCAACGCACCTGCAATTCCCCTGGTGTTGCGGTTGATCATGGGCGGCGGTAGTCACTTAACATCAGGTGAGCCGCATGCTCGTTTGCCCCCACTTCTATAAAAAAAATGTACTTTTCGTGGTGAATCTCATAATTTTTACATTCCTCACAATTTCGGTGACGAAGATCAGTTCTAGGATTATGAATCAAGAATTTTTGATATAATTCACATTCCTCGTGACCTAATTTAGCAAAAGATATATTGCGATCTTTGACGATCTTACGGTAGTATTCGTATGAGATCGGTTTCTCCTGGTCAGTGCAGTGGGTCTCACAATAATCACCATACATTGCTCGCACTGTAATATCTGAAGACAAGTACCTTACATTGGGCCCATGCTCACGTCTATAATGCGATATCGTAGGATGAAATGATTCGACATGCTGTACTACATTTTCATTGTTAATTTTAATTTCTTGGGATTTGGATTCAAGCCCCCTTTTATCCACATCTCCTTCTTTCATTTTTAAGGAATTTCTGACAACTTCATCATTTTTCCTATTAAAACCCAAAGTTTCTAAAAAAAATGTCTTACAGACATTAAATTTAGTACCGGCACTGTCCAGTAAAAAGTAAGAAATAGTATTTTGTCTGTTCAGTTTTCTTTCACCTAGTTTGGGTCTCTTTTTCTGTTGGAAATTTACTTAAATCATCTTGAACAATGTTACTGGTCGGTAAAAGCAACTCTGAATCTCTGACATTTTCGTTCTGCATCTGACTCAACAATATCAATTCATCATCTAATTTTTCTACTTCAGTTTCCGCTGAATTTAGCGGATTTGAATCTGGACCCTGTATTACATTAGTTGCCATATTTAATAGTTTTAAAGATCTCCCTTTCTTCATTTTAGAAATCTGAAAATAAAATAAATGTAGAATAATTAAAAATTGGTAGATAGTTTTTTTGGTAAAGTTACAGACAGACAAAAATTCTTAAAACTATAGATTAAACCTATGTATCGATAATAATGACTATTTCAATAGCATTTTCCAAAAAAATATTTAATAGCATATTAATAGCATAGATAATTTTTATAATAAAAACGAATAAATGGAGACTTTACAAAATATGTTCAATACGTTTAACATTCTTACCTTCTTTCGTAACGAAACGTGACGTGACCCCACTCTCGAACGACTTGGGCGCAACTGACGAAACATTCCTCAGCACTTCCCCCCTCTAACCACCACGATGTACCCGAATACTTAATAGAAAAGACGCAAGTGGCCACTTCTGTCTCTTCAACTTAGAAGTTAAAAAAATAATATAATATAAAGCCTATAAAAAAAGACGGAATGACATTTACTTCTTATCAATTACAAAGTAATTTAAGACGAGCTCTTAGCACGATTTCAAATTCTTTTTTCACCCGCGCGTCCCGCAGTGGGCGGAGCGCAACCGCCTGTCGGAGAGCGCCGCGTGAATACAGTTGCGCAAAGCAAGCAGACAATTCACCTCCAAACAAAAACTTTTCCGTGAGGTTTACTGTTCTCAACACTACTAGGTATTATAGTAATCATATTTTGAGAACCTACTCACTAATATCAAAACTGTTTACAATATCGGTAGTCTGGACGTCATACTACATTTTAATTATCAATATTTTTTTAAAGTCAGTTTTATGATATGAGCAGGTACTTAGTCAACTATTTACATACATAAACATTTAAAACGCCACCTCACAAATTCTAAAAAAAAACAAGTTTCGTTTGCAAAATAGCTAAAATAAGAGAAAAAGAATAGTTTCAAATAAAACCATTAGAAAATTCAAATTTATTTTACTGTTTTCTATTACCTTACCTCCGGACTTGATGGAGTGACCTGAAGGTGTACTTTGGTAATCGGTATTGGAACAGGTCGCCGAGTACTACTAGGTGTGCCAAGTTTGGGCTCGTTTTGTTAGGTATGACGAGCCCTTACCTCCGGACTTGACGGAGTGACCTGAAGGTGTACTTTGGTAATCGGCATTGGAACAGGTCGCCGAGTACCACTAGGTGTGCCAAGTTTGGGCTTGTTTTGTTAGGTATGACGAGCCCTTACCTCCGGACTTGATGGAGTGACCTGAAGGTGTACTCTATTAATCGGCATTGGAACAGGTCGCCGAGTACTACTAGGTGTGCCAAGTTTGGGCTCGTTTTGTTAGGTATGACGAGCCCTTACCTCCGGACTTGACGGAGTGACCTGAAGGTGTACTTTGGTAATCGGCATTGGAACAGGTCGCCGAGTACCACTAGGTGTGCCAAGTTTGGGCTCGTTTTGTTAGGTATGACGAGCCCTTACCTCCGGACTTGACGGAGTGACCCGAAGGTGTACTTTGGTAATCGGCATTGGAACTGGTCGCTAAGTACTACTAGTTGTGTCGAGTTTGATCTCGTTTTGTTAGGTATGACGAACCCTTACCTCGGGACTTGATGGAGTGACCTGAAGGTTTACTCTATTAATCGGCATTGGAACAGGTCGCCGAGTACTACTAGGTGTGCCAAGTTTGGGCTCGTTTTGTTAGGTATGACGAGCCCTTACCTCCGAGGGCTTGACGGAGTGACCTGAAGGTGTACTTTGGTAATCGGCATTGGAACAGGTCGCCGAGTACCACTAGGTGTGCCGAGTTTGGGCTCGTTTTGTTAGGTATGACGAGCCCTTACCTCCGGACTTGACGGAGTGACCTGAAGGTGTATGGGTATCTTAGGCACACCTAGCAGTACTCGGCGACCTGTTCCAATGCCGATTACCAAAGTACACCTTCAGGTCACTCTGTCAAGTCCGGAGGTAAGGGCTCGTCATACCTAACAAAACGAGCCCAAACTCGGCCCACCTAGTAGTACTCGGCGACCTGTTCCAATGCCGATTACCAAAGTACACCTTCAGGTCACTCCATCAAGTCCGGAGGTAAGGGCTCGTCATACCTAACAAAACAAGCCCAACCTCGACACACCTGGTAGTACTCGGCGACCTGTTCCAATGCCGATTACCAAAGTACACCTTCAGGTCACTCCGTCAAGTCCGGAGGTAAGAGCTCGTCATACTTAACAAAACGAGCCCAAACTCGGCCCACCTAGTAGTACTCGGCGACCAGTTCCAATAGCGATTACCAAAGTACACCTTCAGGTCACTCCGTCAAGTCCGGAGGTAAGGGCTCGTCATACCTAACAAAACGAGCCCAAACTCGGCCCACCTAGTAGTACTCGGCGACCTGTTCCAATGCCGATTACCAAAGTACACCTTCAGGTCACTCCATCAAGTCCGGAGGTAAGGGCTCGTCATACCTAACAAAACAAGCCCAACCTCGACACACCTAGTAGTACTCGGCGACCTGTTCCAATGCCGATTACCAAAGTACACCTTCAGGTCACTCCATCAAGTCCGGAGGTAAGGGCTCGTCATACCTAACAAAACGAGCCCAACCTCGACACACCCTATAGTACTCGGCGAACTGTTCCAATGCCGATTATCAAAGTACACCTTCAGGTCACTCTATCAAGTCCGGAGGTAAGGGCTCGTCATACCTAACAAAACGAGCCCAAACTCGGCACACCTAGTAGTACTCGGCGACCTGTTCCAATACCGATTACCAAAGTACACCTTCAGGTCACTCCGTCAAGTCCGGAGGTAAGGGCTCGTCATACCTAATAAAACGAGCCCAAACTCAGCACATCTATTAGTACTCGGCGACCTGTTCCAATGCCGATTACCAAAGTACACCTTCAGGTCACTCCGTCAAGTCCGGAGGTAAGAGCTCGTCATACTTAACAAAACGAGCCCAAACTCGGCCCACCTAGTAGTACTCGGCGACCTGTTCCAATACCGATTACCAAAGTACACCTTCAGGTCACTCCATCAAGTCCGGAGGTAAGGGCTCGTCATACCTAACAAAACGAGCCCAAACTCGGCACACCTAGTAATACCTACTCGGCGACCTGCTCCAATACCGATTACTAAAGTACACCTTCAGGTCACTCCGTCAAGTCCGGAGGTAAGGGCTCGTCATACCTAATATAACGCGACCAAAGTCGGCACACCTAGTTCTACTAGTCCAGGTGTTCCAGTATTAGTTACTGAAGTTCACTTTCAGGTCACTCCATCAAGTCCGGAGGTAAGGTCTTATCATAACTGACAAAATCAGCCCAAAGTCCACAGCTAACTTCTCAGTGCCAGCAGAGGGCTCCCAGTGCAAAGCAGTCTCTAGAGCAGGTATTCGTACCTCGTAATTAAGTCTTATTACTCTATGTATCTAAGTATATTTTTGTGGTGTAAGAAATCAAAAACAAATTCGATCTTTCAAATTATTAAAATAATTTTATTTGACTACGATTCCCGCAGCCAACCGTGCGTACACTTGTGTGTGTGACTCATGTCAATGTAATAGTTCGATTCTATACCTATATCAATTTTGTAAACGCGTCCTTAAAAAATCTTAACGTAAATACTGCGGCAAAAAGAGCGACACGTCTCTACAGCACAAGGCCTCGGCCGGCAGTGACTGCACAGGCTTTTACGCAAACATCCGTACGTATTATTTCAGAAATAAGAATATGTGATTTTTAAAAAAAACTATTAGTTGGACTAAAAAATTGAAACACTATAATGATAATATGTTGAATGTATAAAAATCTGACAAAAAATCAGAATGTTTGAATGTATACTAGTATGGTTTTTACTAGTTAAAAGAAATTTTTGGAGGTATGTTTGTGATTTTTTTCTATCGTATTAAATTAGTGGTATCATGTTTTCAACACACTATCTAACTAGGATATATCCTGGACAATATCATACATTTTTCTGGGTTTGTTTACTGCAGTGGATCATTTACTTTGAGGCATTATAAAACTTGCGTTTAGGGTCATGCCTCGTCTTAATCATTGATGCTATTTTAAAAAACGCGACGTCATTTGCGCCCTACCTATTATGTTAATCACTGTGAGTACTAAGATAATTGGACGTAAGAAACCAAAAGTGTCTTTTTATTTTAAAACTATTCACTTATGTCTTTTCATTTAAGTAATCGATGCAAATATTGTTAAAGATGACGGAGCAACTGGTTAAATAAGTCTTTTCTTTTATGTTGAATTTGAATACGTCTTTTCTACTTAAAAATATCATTTTTGATCAGCAGTTACGTCCAAAACTCTTACGGTATTTTCTAAAATATTGATATTTTAGAGAATTAAAAAAAATTGAGTAGATGCGCCGTTTTATCCTGAGTCGAATGGTATATTTAACTCATTTTGTCAACAATTGTTAGATGCGCCCTTTTTTCTTATGACGGCAGTGCTGCTGCGCCATGTTCGGGGTCCTACAGGATTTAAAGACCTTATAACTGTCAACGATCAGGAATGCGCAACTTATAGAGAAGCATGTGAAGCTCTGCATTTATTAGAAAACGATAATCACTGGGATGAAACCATGGAGGAAGCTGTGCAGTGCCAGTCACCAGCCAAAAGTAGGGATCTTTATGCAACTCTCATATCATCTTGCGGGCTATCTAATGCACATGAATTGTGGGACAAATATAAAGAGTACATAGCGGAAGATATTTTGCGAAGGTTACAGCAGACACACGCGAACATGACATACAATGAACACATTTATAATGAAGCACTTGGAAAAATTGAAGATAAAGTGATGGCATGTGTAGGCAAAAAATTAAGCGACTTTGGAATGATAAGCCCTCAGCGAACAACTGAAAATGAACTAAGTGATGAAATTATACGTGAAACAAACTTCGATATACCAGCTTTGCAGCAGCAAGTAGCCGAATTTGTACCCCGCTTGCTTCCCGAACAAAAACGAGTTTTTGACAAAGTATTAGGACAAATTGAATCTGGAAATGGTGCACTTTTCTTTTTAG